GAAAGTAACTTCCCCTTGCCTGTCACTATAAACGACGTGGTCTCAGCCCGTTCCGCTCCTGTCCCTGACCCAGCACTCTCTCCTACATCCTGAGGACCCGCTCAGCAGAGAGAAAACTGCCAATCGCGCTTTTCTTTCACCAAAATTTGTATTAACTGCTTCTCACAGCCTTGCAGGTCTACTGATTCTGATAAGATGCTTTTAAAAATATGCTATTAAGGTCCACGGTTTTCTTCTGGCCAAGAAGGGTTTATGTTAAATGGACAGTTTATACAAGGCCGTGGTAACCAACCTCCTTGGGGTCCAATTCTGGAGAGAGACTTCCTCTAGTTTCAGGTTCATTAGGAAGGAAGTTGGACTAAAAATAAGATAACTAGGACTTGAGTTTCAGATGTACCAGCTAGCCACAATCTACCTTAGATCATTATACAGGGAAAAAGCTGTAGGCGACTCCAGAAGGAGTGTGGAACCCAAGGTATACGTGGGCATCAGTGTTTCACGTAAGATGTTTAGTAAAACGAGAAGGTATACCACCACTGCTCCATCCGAAGCTGTCCTTCCCTTCTAGTTCAGCTGAGATGGCTTCTAGGGATGAGTATGGATGGTCCACTGGAAATGTGCCCTAGGAGACGGGCTCAGAGGAGTGCGGTGCAAGGTGGTTTTCAGCACAAGCATCGGAAGCAGGGTCTCAGGCTAGTTACAGGGAGAGGCAATCAACGCTAGGATTCCATCGCGGTGGAGACACGGCTACGTGTGCACGGCGGTTTGGCGCCTCCTGGGCACCCGGGAAAATAAGATTTCTCAGGCCCCTGATTCTTAGGTTGGCAGCATGGTCAGAACATTGGCAATCAGGGGCGTGGGCAGGGTTTGATGTATTAGTCCTGTTTTTGAGCAGGAGAAATTCATTAAGAGCAAGTGTGTGCCCTAGCACGTGAAACTTGGAATCTACATAACAGTTCCAGGAAGAGGAGCTGGGAACCCAGTTGACTCTGTCCTGGGCAGAAAAAGTACATGACAGAAAATAAGGACAGCACTTAGAAAGGGTAATGCTCTGGTGAAAGGACACAGGGCTCAACCTGAAGAGTTATGAATGAACGAGTGGAGGGGACTTACAGCAAGAAAGTAAATGATGACAGCAGTGGCTAGCCAACAGGTCAACGCGCATAGTCATGAGTTCATGGCGGATGTAAGTACAAGGACACAACTGATTGTGTAACTAGTTACAGTTAATACACTGGGAGAAGGATGGACGAGAAGGATCACCATGCGGCAAACCCACAGTGATAACCGTATCAGAAAAGGGTCATCAATAAATGCTAAGATTTGTGGGCAAAGTCTGACAACCAATAGGATATTTACGTAGTCCCAAAGTATCCTAATGCTTACATAACACATACTGAAAATAAAACCCTTATGGTGGAGAAAACTCATGCACGCCACCTTGAGCAAACACTCAAAGGTCATTTAACCTGCAATAGGTCATATCATCATACGCCTCTTGATACAAGATTCTGAGACACAACATGTGGTATTCATGCCAAAAAAATCTTAACCTTGAGACCAGCAAATGGCCCAGTGGTTGCGTCTCTGGATCCCATGTAGTTGACCACAGTTCAAGACCTTGATCCAGTGGCTTAATACTCACGCTGGGTGCGTGTGCATGCATGCCCAAAATCTTGAGAGAAGACTGGGGGAGAAGGTATTGCGGCATGGCCATTCTCCCTCAGGGGTGATTTCTCGCTTTCTGTCTCTCCATCTTTCTTGGTCTCTCTAGTGAGCACACGTACCCTATAGCAAAAATCTCTCCAAAAAAAAAAAAAGTCATAAGTTTTTGCATGTGAATATCCAGTTTCCCCAGCACCATTTGTTCAAGACTAACTTTTCTCCATAAGTATTCTTGGCCCCCTATTGAAGATCAGTTGACTGTGTATGTGTGACTTCATTTCTGGGCTCCTTATTCTATTTCTTTGTTATGCCAGTACTGTGCTGTTTTATTACTGCTGCTTTGTAATACATGAGGAAATCCAGGAGAGTGACACTTCCAGCTTTGTTCTTCTTTCTTAAGAACATCAACAACAACAACTGGATATACCCACGCAAAAGAATGAAAGTGGACATTCACTTACACCATTCACAAAACTAAAGCAGATTAAAGACTTAACATCTCACTTGGAACTGCCAGAAGAAAACATGGGGTAAAGCTCCACAGCAGTGATCTCGGCAATAATTTCATGGCTATCACCCCAAAAGCACAGACGACAAAAGAAAAATAGACACTTGGGATTACATCAAACTAAAAAAGTTTCTGCATAGCAAGAGAAAAAAGATCAAGAGTGAAAAGGCAGCCTATGGAATGGGAGGAAATATTTGCAAATGTATCTGATAAGAAGTTAATTTCTAAAATACATGAGGAAGTCCTAAAACATAATAGCAAAACACAGACAAAACTCCACTAATAATGCAATTTAGAAATGTACTCAAGACTGGAACGAACATTTCTCCAAAGAAGATATACAAAAGGCCGACAAGTATGTGAAGAAACGTGTGTCACTAACCATCGGGGAAATGCGAATCACAGTCATGACAAGATGGCCACTGCTTCCCTGGTACAATGGCTACCACCAAAAGAACGAGCAATAGCAGGCGTTGGCAAGGGTGTGGAAAAATGTGAACCCATACTCTTGGTATGAATGAATGATACAGTCGTTACGCAAAGTAGCTTAGAGGTTTCTCAAAAAATTAAAGTAGCCCATTAGTTTTTATCCTGAACAACTGAAATCAGGATTGGGAAGAGACATTAACACTCCCATGTTGCCACAGAAGGTTCACAACAGCCAACACACAGAAACAACCTAAATGTCCAGCAACGTGAGAGCGGATAAAGAACACAGGCCGCTCCAGCAGGTGGGATGGTGGTGAAGTCACTGGGTTCCCACAAAGCCGACCGCAGTCTGAGTGCCGGGTCTGGCAGCTTGAAAATCACAACACGTAAGTAAGTAGATAAATAAAGTCTAAGAAGCAGGAAGCATGGTCTATACGCACAGTGGGCTAGCACTCAGCCGTGGGAAAAGGAAAATTCTGCCCAGCCTCGGTGGCACAGCAGCAGTGTACTGACCCGAACGCCCCCGTGGTCATGAAGGGACCTGAAGCATGCCTGAGGTGTGCTGGGACTCCTGCCGCCTGGAGGTAGGCGAAGGGATCTCAGTGTGGCCAGGCTGTGTCAAGGGCTCCTGTCTGTCTGACTGTCTCAGGCATTCACTCTCTTGTGAAAAAATAAATAAATAAACTAACAAAGAAAAGAAAAAAGAAAAGGAAATCCTCCCACATGAGGTGGGATGGACCTGGGACGTGTGCTAAGTAAATGAACCAGTTACAGGACACCTAATTGTGTCAGTCCACTTACGTGAGGGCTCGAAACAGTCACGCCCACAGAAGCAGAGAGTGGAACGGTGGTTTTCAGGGACTGGGCAAAGGGGAAGGTGGGGTGCTATCGCTCCGTGGATATAAAGTTTTGGGTATTCAAGACGGATAAACGCTAATGGTCTCCTGCACAGCGTGGTGCCCACAGCTCATGGTAATCTACTGTGCACTCGAGACTTTATTTTATCTATTTTTTTTTAGGGGGGGAGAGGTTTTTTTTGCTATAGGGCACGTGTACCCACTGGGGATATTTAAAGAGAAAGATCCAGATAGCAATTTAAAGTGTCCATGGTCATTACACCCCATCCAATTTGCTTCCAAAGCACAGACATTATTCTTGTTTCCCAGACTGGGGTTCAATGCCAAGCTAGGTTGGACTCTGACCCTTCACTTGCACTTGCAGAACAACAGCAGTGACTCTCAGGACTCTCAGGACTGAGAGCTCGCTTTGCATCGGGACCGTGGGAGGGGGATTTTAAGTGGTACTTATTTAAACCTCCCCTCCTCCCCAAGCCCAGTGGGTGAGTGTCATTGCCTGTTTTATCAGAAACTGAGGTTGAGGAAGACTCGCCCAGATACAGGGCTGGCAGCTCTGTGGGCGAGCTTTGGCCCAGTCCCGGGTACATAGAATCCCCCATCGCAGCCTCTAATCGTGCCAGTGACTCCATACCTCTGCGTAGTGGCCAGCGCGATCTTTTAAAGTGAAAACTCCCAGGGACCAGCAGTTGGTATAATGGCTATGTTGCTGGACTCCGATGTAGTAGACCGCGGTTGGAGTCCCGGACTCAGCGACTTAAACTCGTGCTGGGTGCGTGTGCATGCATGCCCAAGATCCCGAGAGGAGAATGGAGGAGAAGGGACTATGGCATGGCCATCCCCCCTGCTGGGTGATTTCTCGCTTTCTGTCTCTCTGTCTTCCTGTTGAGCACACACACCCTATAGCAAAAGTCTCTCTAAAATAAAGAAATAAAATAAAATAAATAAAAATACAAAGTACAAACTCCCTACCTTACAACTCCTCACTTATAATAAAATGGAAATTCTGGACCATGGCCTAAAATAGCCTGTGTCCTCTTGGCCCCACCCTCCACCTGAGTTCATCTCATCCCAGCTCTCCTGGTGGTAGCCCTGTACGCCAAATGCACTTGGGTCTTCCAGCACGTGTGCAGGGCATGCTGTTCTGAGGTCCCCTGCCCTGGCTCCCGTCTTCATCTCGTCAATCCTTTCTTGGGTATCAGGTCTCATAAAGCGCCCAGTGTAGCCTTGGCTAACTGGTCGACCTACAGCACACCCCGCCGCCAGTGGTCGCTCTCACCCTTACTCTGTGGGGAGTACCAGGCCCTCTTGCAGAAAGGAGTTCAAATGAGAACAGCGGCCTTATAAGCCCAGCTCGCACCACGCCCTCAGCAGCAAGCACAGTGCCCGCTCATATTAATGGCTCTGTAAATAATTGTTAAATTGAGAAATAGTCCAATAGAGACACATGAGATGGATTGCCCTTGCCCTCTAGAAAGTCAGAGTACGAGCTTGCCCAGGCCCGGGGGCGTGGCACATGTATGAGCCATTGGCCAGGTTCGGCACACTCACATACCTCTCGGGTAGAGTGAGCGGAGGCTCCGATGCCTTTCAGGGGTCCGAGTGAGACCGCCTCTCCTGAGGCTTGGTGCAGGGCCTCACGCAGCTCTTCGGGGGTGAGGCGTTAAGTTGGGCGTCAACACAAGGCAAAGGCAAAGGCTCCGGGCAGGCACGGACGCTGACAGGTGGGACACCAGGTACACACCTACACTCGGCAGGTGGGGCACTGGCACGCACATGTGCCCGACACTGACAGCTGGGGCACCGGGCATGTACACACACACCAACACAACAGCTCGACTAAGGTATCGCAACATGGATGCAAGGCCGTGTGATGAAAACGAGTTTCTTTTCTTTCCTTTTTATTTTTATTTATTTAGTTATTTAATTTATTTATTTGTTTATTTTTGCTATAGGGCACGTGTACTTGCTGGAGAGACGCTAAAGGGAGACAGTGAGAGGGAAAGTGAGAAACCACCTGTCCCTTCTCCCGGGAGTTTGGGCACACATGCACATGCACCCAGTGTGGTTTTCAAGCCACCAGGTCAGGGATTGTACCTGTGGTCAGCCACATGGGAGACCGGCCCCGTAGTCACCACATCACCACCCTGGGCAAATTCTTAACCTCGCTCAGCAGCGGTCTCTTCCTCATTAGACTGGGGTAATAATAGTACTTAACTCGGTTATCACCAAGAGTAAAGAGGTTTGCTCCTCCGGAGCCCCCGTGCCCATCGCCTGATAGTGAGGTACCGCCTGGGCTTGCCGGTATTAGTACAGATAAATATTAATTTGGAGCAAATTGTAGATACAAAGCAGAGAGGGGGAAATCATAATTAGAGCTGTTAAATAACACTTGTTATAATTTCCCTATGGTGCCTTCTCAAAATAAGGTCTTCTGTAGACGCCACTTCACATCTCAGAGCTCAGCAACTCACCCACCAGCCAGCTGTCGGCAAACGGGTTTAACTCGGAGTGGTTTGTTCAGCCTTTCCTCCTCTGACAGCGCTATCTCAGGGCTGCCCAGTGGTGAAGTTACACGGCTTATTATAACCGCAGTGTAAACAAGGCCCGGCTTTATGTAACACCTCAGTTACCGAAAGCTAAAAAGCACATCGAAGTGTTCGTTCTATTTTCACCGCCTCCCCGCAGGGTTGGAGAGTGTGCTGTTACTCCCCGTTTCAGACGAAGCGACTGAAAAGATGCCCAGTAACTTCAGTAGGGAAGCTCTATAGTTGGGAAGAGGTCTGAGAAGCAGGGTCAGCCTCACAGTCCGCCCTCCTGCTAGCCACGGCTTGCCATTCTTAATGTTTACTTATACTGCACCTCTTTGCAAAAAGAAACGGGATTTGCACTGTAACGAGCGGACTAAGAAGTCACCCCCAGCTGCATTCCCTGGAGTGACTACAGATATTGATTTTCGTGGCCTGGAAAACTAGGAGCTCCCTCAGAGACTAGGCTTTGGGGACAGAGAAAGCCTACAGAACCCCGTGTTTTCACACTTCTCATGCGGAAACGGTCTTTGCGGTTCTGAGTGGTCTGGCAGGACAGCGAGAAGCCTGCTGACTTTGGTCAGCCGGGCACTTCACATTCTTGGCAGGACAGTTTTTAAATGCAAAATCAATAGTATTCCGAGCATCCGTGTTCCATGGCTCAGCTGTTTAGGAAACGCTGACGTGAGGAAATCACAGTGCAGAGAAAAAGTAGGCCAATAGCAAGAAATCCAGGGCCCAGTTAGTCTAGCAGCAGGTGCAGAACTCGGCAGTGAGCATCCTGCTGGCCCAGGGAAAACAGGAAAGTGGGCAGTTGCAAGAATTTGCTAATGAACTGCAGGGAAACTGAGAAACAGAGCTTTCCCAGACTTGACCAGGACTTAGTGGAAGCTTCTTCAAAACTTTTTAAAATTTGACATAAAAAAGCAACATAAGACAATGATCAAAAGACTGATACTTCTTTTTCTTTTCTTTTTTTTTTTTTTCCTAAGCAAATTTAGCAATTCCAAATGTAACTCATAGCATTCTTAGAGGCACTATTCAAATTCATTTTAAAATTAGTGCTACTAGTTTTAAAATGGCCATGTTATGTTCATGCAGAAATACTTTGGAGGGACTTGACAGCACCGTGGAAGGGCCTCGTCTGCAGAAACGGCAGACTGCCGGTGCCTCCTGCTCACCTGACGGGCGGGCGTCGGGCTCCCTGCCACCTGCCATCACCACGGTCACAAGTTGTCTGCTCCTTTTTGCTCAAGGACATATGCACTTGCCAGAGAGAGACGGAGAGAAGAGAGGCGAGTGAGAACTCATCCCCAGAGGCGGAGGCCATGCCCCAATCCCTTTCCTCCACTCTCCTCTTGGATTTTGGACACACATACACACTCACCCGGTGTGAATTTCCAGCCACCAGGTCTGGGACTTGAACAGTAGAACTGACCATGTGGGAGTCCAGCGCCTTAGCCCTCCATGCCCCCGCCACAATCTCATTTCTGCACTTGGACTAAAAGCCAGACACCCTCCACACTCCGCCGGAGACACTTCTGTCCCGCGGCCACTCTGAGCTCTTTCTCCCCGGGAGCCTGGCAGAAGGCACCCTCTCTGCAGCGTCTGCTCCCACGTTCCACAAGAGCACACCTCCTTAACCCTTCGAGGACTCTGTGGGCTCCCCAATCAAGGGCCCCCTCCCTCTGCAATCTTTAATTCTCTCCCACCCTCTTCTGTTTAATGCCTTAGAGCAGGCTGCGTCATACCTGCAGGTGTCACTTACTGAATTTCTCCGTCTCCTCCGGCCCAATCGCTAACCTCACAGAAACAGGAAACACGTTTGTTGTATTTACCAAATAAATAAGTCGGTGGACCTTACTTAATACATTCTAGGCATACGTGTTTGTCGAATGTCTGCACAAGCGAATGGGGAGAACTCTACAAAAGATTCTTTACGGAAAAGAAAAATAATTAGAGTTTACGGTACATTGTGTAAGTAACGTACAAAGTGTTCGTCAAGAACAGTTCATTAGTTGATTCCCTTCCCTTCGTCTCCACAGAAACCGCTCTGGCCAGCACATCACGCTACGGCAGGACTTGCTTGTACACCGGTTTTTAAAATACGCACGAGCCATTGTTCTGCTTAGAAGTCACTATTGAATACAGTGGCAAAATAAAACGACCCCTCGGAAAGAGGATTCCTCGTAGGTAACTCTCAGGTGAGTGATGAGACGCAGTGAGTAGCATGACCACGTAGCCGTGAGACGGAGTTACTAACTGGCGTTTGGAGGGGAGACGGCACAGTCCCCAGCCAGCCCTTCCTGCTGGGGTACCCGGAGACGCACACGGGCAGGGAGCACGGAATGAAACACACTGGACGAGAGGCCTTCCTCTCCCCACGGACGGCAAGAGCTGCCCGCGGGCTGTTGGGGCTGACTCGCCAGCTGGGCAGTCACCGCTGGAAGGGAAGCAGGTCACCAGCTTCTAGTCAAAACGCACAGACACGAGTACCCCGGGCCAGGGTGTTCACGTTAGTGCAAAGCCAAAGGCCCCTTTCTGCAGGGTGCGCAGGCTACCCTGACAGCCTGACTCACCACCCCCTCGCAGAGAACCCCTCTCCTTGTGTGTGCAACCCGAGGGGGCACACCCTCAGTGACATGCATCGTCACAAAGTAGCTCTTTTAGATCCTGTATGACACAGCCCTCCAGTTCTTGAGTTGAGTTTTGGAGCTTTTTGGGGGTTGCCGGTGGCTTTTCGCTGCTGTCGTGAAGTGCGAGGGACTCCCGGACGCCGGTGTGCCCAGCGACCACTGTACTGCTGCTCAGGCCTGTCATCACACACGCTCGTTTCAGGGCTCATGGGGACCGCCCCTCCTCCTGGCTTTCCTCTTCACTGTGCTTCCATTTCTGTCGCGGAGGGAGCGGGAGGGCCTCTGGCCTGAAGGTGGGACTGTGATGACACGGCTCATTGTGGACGTAACCCCCTTCAAGCCCACCTTCGCCAGCACCCGCCCTGCCCATGCGGGTGTGCGGAATGCGTTCCTCCTCGTTCCCGGCACTCCCCGTCAGCCCGCGAGCGCGAGGAGAGCGGGGTGCCCTCCAGACCCGACAGCGCTGATGTGCCCCTAACACTGACCGGGAATGAAGTGAGTGCACGTCGAACTCACCCCAGGTTAAGAGCTCAAACCAGATGGGAATCGAGGGAGCAGCTAGCACTGGATCTTCAGAACCTGAGGAAGGGCGCCCAGGGGCGAGAGCAGTCGCTTGTTACAGGTGGAAAGGTCCCACAGACAGCGGGTCGGACGCGGCTGGGGGGGGAGCCATGCATCAGAGCTCCGTCTCTAAACATCTGGAGCAGAGGAACGGCAGGCTCTCTGGCAGCCGCGGCCTGTCAGCACATGCGGTCCGCCCAGGGAAGGCTGAGGCTCTGCCTTCCCGACGGCAAATGAGGGCTCCAGAGCACAAGTCAGAGGAAGCTCGAGGCGGCTGTGGTGGCCAGGACAGCGGCAGGAGAGCAGCGAGAGGACCCCCAGGAGTGGAGAGGGGCCTCAGCAGGGAACAGGCAGTCCAAGGAGGGTGGATGTAGGAAGTTGGAGGCAGATGCTTTGTCACCTGGAGCTAGGAGCAGCTGATGCATCGCCTCTTGGCCTCGGGGGCAGGAAAGTAACATTTTCTGGGAGGATCAGGGCTTGAGAGAAGTACAGCCTCTCTGGAAAGGACCCTGCAGAGAGGGAGCCAGGACGAGAAAGGTCCCGTGTGCACGGCTGCTGCTGGGCAGAGACGGCTCTGCGGTCCCGCCTGGCGGGAAGACGGGGCGTCTGAGCCCGGTAACGTGGACAGTGAAGAGCAGGCCAAGAAAGACTCTCAGGAGCGAAGAGAAACCACCGCACAGCCCAGGAAGAGGGACCCCAAAGGAAACGCGAGCCCACCTGAAACCCCGTCCCGGCCTGGCTTCCGCTGTCGGAGAGTCTCGGACCAGAGCGTCCTGGTCAGGGCCGCGGCCACATCTGGCGAGCAGTCGACACCTAGTGGCCTCGATGTCGTCCGACGAACAGACAGACCTGGGAGGACCTTGGAGAGAAAGGAAGGGCCTAGAACAATCTCAAGGAGCAGAGGCCAGGCAGGAAGTGGGTTATGGAAACGGCAGACCCGGACCCCGGGCACCGGCCCAGACGCGATCCGGAGTGGCTGGGGCA